AGGGGAAGATTAAGAATAATAATAAAAAGGAGAAAAGTATTAATAATAATAGTTGTTTTAAAACAGACAAATACAAGCAAACTAATCACCAGAAAAAAGAAAGCGAAAAAGAAAAAAATAAAGAGAAAAAAAAAATCAGTGGAGGACAGGGCAGGGCACCCAGGCTGTGTCTGGGCACAGAGACTGATGGAGTTCCTGTGGGCCCAGAAGGTAGGTGGGAGTGGGGATGGCCACACCTTCGTTCACCAAGCGGGTGTAGGGTATGAGAGTAACAAAAGGATTGTCATACCTTTTCAGTCTTTCAGGTCCCGAGTGTCCTTGGGGTTGCTGGAAAGCAGAACGTGTTCTTAAGCCCCAGGAATCTGCGAGAGCGCTATCTCTTTAAATACCCCAAATAGTCAAGCCGCTTTTTAAACCTTCAAAATGGCGGAGTCCTCCGGACCGGCAAAAGTCCTCATTCAGTCCCTGGCTAGCAGGGTAATTTTTAGGTTAATTCTTAGGTCCTACCACCACTTGGGAATCTCCAAGCTGTCTGTGCCGTCAGTATCACTGCCAGACCGCAGCTCTGTCTCTTTTTTTGGTATTTTCACGCAAATTCTTCCGCTAGTTGGAGTTTAGTCCACTTCTAATCCTTCCCTTCAAGGCTTAGGAGTCCAGGATTATCTTTTGTGTCTGTGTTAATTGGTTTCCCTTTTCTTTGTTGAAGAGGGTCTGTGCAGTCTTTCTGCCTAGTCTGCCATCTTGCCAGATCCCTGAAACTTACTTTTGAACAGAGAGTAAGTAGCTAGAGGGAACGGAAGAAATGATGATGCAAAAGAGCTGAAAAGTAGATTTCAGAGGACAGCCCTAGAAGACAAAGTATTATAATGAAATGTAAAATATATGGAATTAGAAAACCAAAAGGAAGAACACACTTGATGTTTCTCAAGCTGAAAAACTGAAGAAAGAATTCAAGTCTTGAGTGCAATATTGAAGGATTGTATGGACAAAGTATTGAATGATGCAGGAAGCTTCAGAAGGAGATGGAAGTAACACACAGAGTCACTGTAGAAAAAATAGTTTATGTTAAACCATTTCAAGAGGTAGCATATGATCAAGAACCAATGGTATCGAAGAAAGAAGTCCAACCTGCACTGAAGTAGTTGGTGGAGAAACATGTCAGACAAGGGACCAATCTCTAAAATTTATAGACAATTGTTGTTGTTGTCGTTATTGTTATGTGCCGTCGAGTCGGACCCGACTCATAGCGACCCCTCCTTGGGTTTCCGAGGCAGTATCACTACGGAAGTAGGATTGCCCAACCTTCCTTCTGAGGAGTGGCTGGTGGGTTTGAACCGCCAGCCATCTGGTTAGCAGGCAAGTGTCTTAGCCACTATGCTACCAGAGCTCCCTATAGACAATTACAGCATCTAAATAAACAGATAAACAGTGCAATTAAAAAATGGACAGAGAACATAAACAGACACTTCAGGAAGGAACACATTTGAAGCAGCCAACAAATACGTAAAGAAATGTTTACGATCGTTAGCCATTAGAGAGACGCAATTCAAAACAATGAGGTATCATCCCACCCCCACATTAATAGCAAAGTTTAAAAACACAGAAAACAGCAAATGCTGTTGAGGTTGTGGAGAGACTGGAACCCTCATACATTTCTGGAGGTACTGTAAAATGGTGCAACTAGAAAATGGTGCAACTGTAGGAATAGAAATGCTATATTATCTAGCAATGCCATTACTAGATATATATCCTACAGAAATAAGCACTGTGACACAAATAGATAAATGCACAATGATGATTATCATAGCAGTATTCACAATAGCAAAGAGATGGAAACAACCTACATGCCCATCAATGGATGAATG